CATTACACAAATTATAATTATAGTAATCTAATAGTTTGTCTAGTAATTTTCTAACGTTTGAATAGATAAACACTGGGTTCTTGTTCAAGTGGATATGTAAATAAATTTAAACAGTTAACGTATAAATTTCAAAGACAGTCATTATTTCAAAATTGAAAAAGTTGAAAATTGGTCACTTATTTCATGATAAATTGTCTGCTATAAAATAGAACAGTTAAATGACAATCCATTTGTGGTCATCTGTAATTTTCATAGGCAAAAGATAAGTTGGATCTTGGTAAAGTTTTGTTTACAACCGTAATATATCTTATAAAAGAAGTATTGTCAGAAAAATATTAGAATCAACGTAAAAAAACCTGATTAGTCAGGTACCTTCATCATTTATCAGTTGATTAATTATGTAGTTAAAAAGGGGTTTTGTGGAGATTTATGTATTTGCATAGTTGAAATAACTAGTCAAATGAAGCTAGACCACCATCGAAAATTTGGAAGCACTGGACGGCCGTTTCGTCTCATTATGTGACTACTAGCAGTGAGCATCCAAGATCCCGCCTCACAAGATTCGAACCCAGGACCTACCACTGCTGAGGAGTCCCATAATGGGATGACACGGCCATACAGTGTTTGCAGGTTTTCCATGGTGGTCTAGCTTCAATTGACTTATGATTTCAACTATAATTATGTAGAGATGGATAGTGGATAGCAGTGGAATCCAGGACGCGCGTTTCGTCCTATTTGGGACTCGTCAGATGGATGTACCTGCATCTCAGAGTTGATGTTCACTCTGAGACTCGAACCCAATACCCTCGCTTCAAACACCATCGCGTTATCCACTAGGCCGCTGAGTTCTGATAGCCACTTGCTTGTGCGATGGGGTGAAGCTTAAATTCAACTTAGTATTGTTTGTTTGAATCTTCCCATCGATTTGTTAGGACTGCAACTGGTCAGTCTCTAATTGGGATATGTGCATACTGTGCGTATTGCCTCGATATACCTTAATACACAAGCATGGTTAGAAGAGATGTATAGTGGCTAGCATAGTGGCTAGCGATGGCGTTTGAAGCGAGGCTACTGGGTTCGAGTCCCAGAGTGAACATCAACTCTGAGATGCAGGTACATCCAGCTGACGAGTCCCAAATAGGACGAAATGCGCGTCCTGGATTCCACTGCTAACCACTATCCATCTCTGCTAACCATGCTTGTGTATTAAGGTATATCGAGGCAATACGCACAGTATGCACATATCCCAATTAGAGACTGACCAGTTGCAGTCCTAACAAATCGATGGGAAGATTCAAACAAACAATACTAAGTTGAATTTATAATTATGTAGTTTCAAAAATCCTTTCTTCTTCATAGTTTTACATTATTAAACGAAGAAAATGTTGACAAAGTAAAAATATTTTATCCTTTAAGTCTCATGAAAATGAAAAGAACGTGACAACACGAATAAGATGAAAGGATTGATTGAGGGAGATTCATAACAGATGTATTTCCTTCATAATCTCTACTTATAAGTCATAATGACTTCAGGTCTTATGACAAACACCCAAAATATCTAAGCTATTCATAGTTTTACCATAATTGTTAGCAAACACATTGAAAGATAGACGGAACTATGTTATAAAACAATAATCTTGAAACGACTTATGTGTAAATCTTGATCCTTTTCGTTTACTAGATAAGTAGGAAAGAAAACTACACTTTTTCCTAGAAAATCATTAATAATTGTATTGTATTCTGAACTGGATTTAATATTCATTTTATGATTAGATATTATTTTGCGAATAAATTATTATAGTTCAAAGCGTGAGTCAACTGAAGCTAGACCATCATCGAAAACCTGCAAGCACTGGACGGCCAACTCGTACTATTATGGGACTCCTCAGCAGTGCGCATCCACGATCTCGCCCAGGGAGATTCGAACTCAGGACCTACCAGTCTCATACCAGAGCACTTAACCGATAGACCACTGAGTCGGTGGTGTTTATGATGTTTATGTTTAACTCCAACCAATCCACGATTCACCCGACTAACGCTTTCAACTATGAAAATACTAAATCTCCACAAAACCCCTTCTGATAATAATAAATTATTATTTTCTTTTCTCGTCTTTATTTTCACATTTTCATAACTAAAATTTTTATTTTAGTGAACGAATTCAATTTGGCTCCTGATTATATTATATGTTCTTTTTTTATAGAATGTGCTGAAATCCCTGGTATACAACAAATACTCATGAGGTTATTCAAAACTACATTATGATCATGTCACCATAATTAAATGATTTCGTTCAAAGGGTTTTATTAACATCAAAAGAAATGAGTATTATATGAGGGCGTTATTCAAATACTAAAATTCTAATAAAATCAAAAGTTATGCTATGTGGATAAATTAATCTGTTTTTACTTTTGTTTCTCATCTAAATTCCAGAATAAAACTGAATTGTAATGATAATACTGATTACATATTTTTAGTAAACAGTTGTAGAAAACTATTGAAATATATACATGCACATACCAACATATACAAACACACACATACACACAAGCGCTCATATGTATACAAGTATAAATGAAAAATAAGACAATAAAGAGATCTGTTTACTCTTAGTTAACCTTGACTACTAATTCAATCAACTCTATATTTGCTCATTTCTAATGTTTTCTTTATCAGTTCATATTAATATTTACAATCTATGATTATTCTCTTTTTTCTTCAAATTCCAGATAAAATAAGGGATACCTTTTAATCAATAAGTAGGGAATCTCATATTGTATCCAGCATACACACATATACACAAGTACATCCCCATATTAATCGTTTACTTTATTTTTGTTATGATAATAATTTTTTAAAACCAAATAATTCAACGTCATTCAACGAGATACTTAATTTTTATCTTTTTGTATGGATATGTGTTCTTTTATATGAATAGGTGAATGAATGAATGATAGTTGCTCATTATATTTTAAGTAGAACAATACATTGATAATTGTTTGTATTAAACAACAAGGAAACAATTGAATGAGGTTGAACTTATTTGTTTTTGTTATGATCGGTTTCTCTATGTTGGTGAGGGAAATGTTCATTCTAGTAGCAGTGACGGTTGTTATAGTATCGATAAACATAGCAATAATAATAGGTAGTGAGGTTGATCAATGGCATAAAAAAACACAAGGATTGGGAGGAAATGAAAGACTATATATATATATATATATATCCTACCGGCACATGTATACTTATAGGTATGTTAGAATTGCGATTAAAATAAAGGTCAGTGAGTTAAAGGGAGTTGTCATCCAATTAATCATTTCGTTTCACTTAGTCAATGAAATGTTCAGGTGGTGACTAGTAGTAGAATCCGATCAATTGCGGTCTTTGGTAAAATGCAAACAAACAATAAAAAAATGAAGTGAAATGTATGGTTTTTAGTAGGTTCGCCGATTTGGTTATTTATTTGATTGATATAAAATTAAAGGATGAAGTGAAAAATTAGTAGCATGTATAGTTGGTATTTATTATTAATTTATGGATATGGCGATTATTAGTAATAGTATTGTATCGACTGCATTCAACTTAATTGTTGTGGTAATGGATTTTAGTAAGAAACATACCTGATAGTTGAAGCATGACTACTGACTTTTCATTAATCAGATAACTGAGTTATGTTTTATTGAATTGGAAAGCAACATTTTTTATTGTATTATTATGTTCAACGAACATGGGAACTGAGATTATAAAGATGTTATTTTACAAGCTTTAAGTGATAACGAATTTATTCTTATCGAAATACTTTACCTTCTGACCATCACGGTCGTTCCATCTTCATTCCCGTTTTCTTCTTCAAAATATCCCTGTAAATCTTCAAAAGTCAGCGCCCTAAAATGACCCGTTGTTTTACGTTTTATGGTTTATGCAACATCCCAATACCGTCCCTTCTCAACCTTCTGATGAAAAGGAAGAATGATCTTTTGTATTTATCAAATTATCGACTTGAAACTAGCAGACGATCATTTCTGAATATGCAGTCATCATACTTATGTGTAAATAATAATTCTTGTCAATTAGTAGCTAAATGAGGAATAACCATAATTGTTTCAATGTGAACATCAAGGCTGAGATGCAATGACATTTAGTTGATGAAATAGGCATCCTGAATCCCACCCCTATCTGATTTCCAGTTTTAATAAAAACTTGTGTTTTGTTTCATTTGTTCAAAACTAATTAAAGTATATTTACCTCTCAACAGTCGAATTTACATGAATTTCAATCATTGAAATCATCAGTTTACTTTTTTGCTGAAATATTTACACTGTTCATTAAAGTACACACTAAAAAAATTTCGATTGAGATCATCTAAAAAAATAGTAAATTTCATTGGTTCACATAAATGAAGTTTATTTGAAGATTTTTAAACAGTAACTTTCGTGGTAATGAAGCAAACAAAAACAATACATATGTTTCCAACTATGAAAATACTAAATATCTACAGAACCCCTTCTGATTATAATCATATGCTCACTAGTGACTGACTTCAAGAGGTAGTTCCTGGAGTTCTAGTGAGAAACAGTGACCAGTGGAGTTCAAACCACGTATGTTGTGAGATTGGAACTCACGGAAGAAAATAAATATATATATATGTTTACAATATCCAAAAGGTTTATTTAAAAAGTTTTTTAACAAGACTGGGTAAAATTAACAGTCATTGTCAACAACGAATGGCAATGAAAAGCTTCGTATAATATCATAATATTTTAATAAATAACAACACTTATGTAAGGATGGTCCACAGGTGAAGTCGAGGAGGCTCTAGGAAGCCCAGGAAGAGCCGCAGACATTCCATCCAATCAGGGCTAGGAGAATGTTCTAGAAATGCCAACGTGGAGCTTCCCCATTGGATGGATTAGTTTGATACCTATGTGCTTATTGGTTGACCTAAATGATAATTTACTTTCAGCCAATAACTATAAATACACGAGATTTCAGTGTTATATTTTGACATTGTTTGGGGCAATAAACTTCCTGCTTACCAGTCTTCGTCTTCTCTCTTTGCGACGTTGCGGGTTCTATCGTTCAAGTAGTCAAGTAGTTCGCGGCATATTAAGAATCAAGGCTCTAGATATAACAACTGGCGACGGGTTAATTTATCAAGATGTCTATTACCTTTGACCAATTTGAAGCTTTTCTAGAGCGCCATTAAAAACGACTTGAACAATTCCAGATGCGCATGCTCGAAAAACTAACCCAGCAGATGAACCTCAATAAGAATGGACTTACAGATGTTTCTGCAAAATCGCATGCTGATTGTATCATTGATTCCATTCACGAATTTCATTTTGATGGTGTTGCTGGTGTAACATTCGAATCTTGGTACAAGAAATATGAAGATGTATTTAATGTCGACCTAGAAACTTTTGATGATGCCGCCAAGGTCAGGGTGCTACTACGAAAGCTGGGTACCATTGAACATGAACGATATACTAATTACATTCTGCCCAAGAACCCAAGAGACATTTCATTCGAAGAAACAGTAAAAATTTTGTCGCAAATTTTCGGTGAACAGTCTTCCTTGTTCAATATTCGATATCAGTGCTTGAAAATAGTAAAAGCCGGCAATGATGACTGGGTGCAACATGCTAGCATAATAAATCGCGAATGTGAGCGCTTTAAACTATCAGCAATGACAGAAGACCAATTCAAATGTCTTGTTTTCGTATGCAGCTTACAATCTTCAGAAGACGCCGACATTAGAACCAGAATTCTAAGCAAAATTGAACAATGTCCAAATATCACCCTTCAAGAGGTGACTACTGAATGTCAGCATCTGGTAAACTTGAAGCATGACACTTCACTGGTAGAAAATAATGGTCGACTACCTTATGTACAGGCAGTAAGTGGGAAGCAAAAGCAGAACACAACCATTAAGAAGCCTCCATCCGCATGTTGGTTTTGCGGAGAGCTGCATTACAAAAGGTTCTGTCCATACAAAAACTACCGGTGCACTAGATGTCAGCTCAAAGGACATAAAGAAACATGTTGTAAGAAGAAGATGCACCGTCGTTCATCAAGTATACATTTCCGAAGACGTAAAAATTGTTCATCAATCAACAGAATAATGGTAGCACGTACTAGAACAAAACATAATCGAAGAAAATATGTGACCTTAGAGATAAATGGGCGCCGTGCTCGTCTACAGCTTGACACTGCTTCAGATATTTCACTTATCAGCCGCAAAACATGGAGTCATATTGGCAAACCCTCGGTGCTCCCTACAACTCAGTTAGCACACAGTGCATCTGGAGGAAAGTTAAATATTGTTGGAGAGATATACTGTCCAGTTAAAAAAGGGAATGTACAGAAGAATGTGAAAGTATATCTCACGGAAAGCCCGGGACTAGACTTATTGGGACTGGATCTAATAGAAACTCTTAAGCTAGCAGATCATTCTATTAATAGCATCTGCAGACGAGTGACTATTGACAACTCCTCAAGGTGTAACCAGAAAAGTACCGTGCCGCAAAGACATCACAACGTTTTTAAAGAAGAATTGGGAGAATGTACGAAGGCCAAAGCCTTATTAATCCTCAAACCTGGTGCTACTCCCGTTTTTCGACCCAAAAGACCTGTGCCCTACGCAGCTCTACTGATGGTTGAACAAGAGATAGAACGACTTCAAAAATTGGGTGTCATTGAGCCAGTGAATTTCTCAGAATGGGCTGCACCTATAGTGGTAGTAAAGAAGACTAATGGTAGCATCCGTTTATGTGCCGATTACTCAACCGGGCTAAACGAAGCCCTAGAAACTCATCAGTATCCACTACCCCTACCTGAAGATCTTTTTGCTAAGCTGAATGGTGGTAAGCTCTTTGCAAAGTTAGATTTATCGGAAGCTTATTTACAAATTCCGGTTGCTGATGAATGTAAAAATCTGCTCACCATAAACACACACAAGGGCCTATTCAGGTATAATCGACTACCTTTTGGAGTCAAGACGGCCCCATCTATATTTCAGCAAGTGATGGATACTATGCTACAGGATGTTCCAGGTGCTGCAGCCTATCTGGATGATATAATAATTATGGGAGTAGATAAAATAGACTTAGAAAAGAAGCTCGACCAGGTGCTGTCGCGAATAGCCGAATATGGATTTCGACTGCGTGCAGAGAAATGTAATTTTTGTATGAAAAAGGTAAGCTACCTCGGATTTATAATCGACAAAGATGGCAGAAGACCAGACCCAGAGAATACTCAGGCAGTGAAAACTATGCCTAGACCTACGGACGTCCCTACACTACGATCCTTTCTGGGACTAGTTAGTCATTATGGAGCTTTTATTCCTAACCTTCATCACCTGCGTGCCCCCTTAAATAACCTTCTGGCGAAGAATGTGAAGTGGGATTGGTCTGCGGATTGTCAAGCCGCTTTCGAGGAAATCAAGAAAATACTAGTCTCGGATCTGCTGCTCACCCATTATGACCCATCCTTACCCATTGTAGTAGCATCAGATGCTTCAAACCATGGCATTGGAGCAGTTATTTCTCATATCATGCCAGATGGATCTGAAAAAGCCATATCGCATGCAGCTAGATCATTAACTATAGCAGAACGTAGCTACAGTCAGATCGAAAAGGAAGCATTGTCGATTATCTTTGCCATAAAAAAGTTTCACAAGATGATATTTGGACGCCAGTTCACCCTACTAACTGACCATAAACCATTGTTAGCCATTTTTGGGTCGAAGAAAGGTATCCCGGTATACACAGCAAACAGACTTCAACGGTGGGGAACTACACTCTTAGGTTATGACTTTAAGATCAAGTACCAGCCCACTACTGATTTCGGACAAGCAGACGCTTTGTCTAGACTGATTGGTTCACGAGTAAAACATGAAGAAGATACATTGGTAGCAGCAATTGAGACGGAAGCAGAAGTACATCGAGTATTGGAAGACGCAGTCGATGGCTTACCAGTCGCTTTCAAAGCTATCAAAGAAGCTACGATAAACGACAAGACATTAAGAGAAGTTAGTGGTTATCTCCTAACCAGGTGGCCAAACCGTCGTTTCCAAAGTGAGATGCTACAATATTTCCGCCGACGAGACTCACTCATGATGGTCGACTCATGTATTATGTTTGGTGACAGAATTGTTGTTCCAAAAACATTACGCCACAGGGTTCTGAAACAATTCCACAGCGGCCATCCCGGGATCAATAAGATGAAAGCGTTAGCTCGAAGCTATGCATACTGGCCATCAATGGACCATGATATAGAGCAAAAATGTCGCAGTTGTTCGTCCTGTTTAGAGGCCGCAAAGAACCCAAATAAAGCTGAACCGCAACCATGGCCAAAACCAGACGGTCCCTGGCAAAGAATACATGCTGATTTTGCCGGCCCAATACAAGGCAGAAATTACTTGGTTGTTGTCGACGCCTTCACGAAATGGCCAGAAGTATACGACATGACGAAAATGACGTCAGAGAGTACTATAAGAAAATTGACAGGTTTGTTCGCTTGTTTTGGGGTTCCTGAGATCTTAGTGACCGACAACGGCACCCAGTTCATGTCATCTGTTTTTAAACGGTTTTGCACTGAAAATGGCATATCACATCTACAGTCTCCCCCGTACCATCCTCAGTCGAATGGCCAAGCAGAAAGATTCGTGGATACTATAAAACGAGCTCAAGTTAAAGGGGGAGGAGAGGCCATCCCAGAACAAGTAATCAGCAAGTTCCTTTTGTCTTACAGAGTTACCCCCAATCCGGCAGTACCCGAAGGTAAGTCACCAACCGAGGGTATGTTCGGAAGGAAAATTCGAACAATATTTAGCAGTATGTTGCCACCCAGAAAGACAAGAAAACCCACGAATGGAAACCATATGGTCACTCGTAGCTTCAAGGTGGGTGAAAGGGTACTCGTTAAATCGTATCAAGGTGGAAAAAGGTGGGAACCAGGTATTATAGAACGTCGAATTGGAAGTGTATTGTATTTAATCCGAAGAAATGTCGGTACTTGTATAAGACACATCAATCAAATTCGAAGGGATGGCAGAACATGGATGCCACAAAGCCAGCTCCCATTTCAATTGCTCATGGATTCGTCTCCAAAAAGCACCCAGGCGCGCGAAGGTAGAAAAGACAAAAGACGCAAGAGCAAGGCGACACAACCTTCGAGAGTAATGAGTCGCAAGAGAATAGCGGTAACTCAATTCCAGGTGGATCCGAGAAAAAGGATTTATACAACAGACTTTAAAGGGGGGAGGTGTGAGGATGGTCCACAGGTGAAGTCGAGGAGGCTCTAGGAAGCCCAGGAAGAGCCGCAGACATTCCATCCAATCAGGGCTAGGAGAATGTTCTAGAAATGCCAACGTGGAGCTTCCCCATTGGATGGATTAGTTTGATACCTATGTGCTTATTGGTTGACCTAAATGATAATTTACTTTCAGCCAATAACTATAAATACACGAGATTTCAGTGTTATATTTTGACATTGTTTGGGGCAATAAACTTCCTGCTTACCAGTCTTCGTCTTCTCTCTTTGCGACGTTGCGGGTTCTATCGTTCAAGTAGTCAAGTAGTTCGCGGCATATTAAGAATCAAGGCTCTAGATATAACAACTTAACAAAATGTAATCAATGATGATTTTAGCTAAGGGCAGAGTAGGTTAAAGATTGCTGATCGGTGACTTATGTTTTATTTCGGGTAAGATTGTTAAGTAAATTAGTAACTAAGATAACGATTTTGTGAACAATTAAGTAATGGATATTTCAAAGTTTATTTTCAATAGAACCTGACATTATTATCATTGGAGACCATCGAAAATCTGATTAGTGGCTTAAAGAATAACTGGTTCGTTTTACATAGAAGTTGACAGTATCCAATCCTTTACACACAATCAAACTCAATTACTTCACATCTCCTGATAAGCACAATAGCTCTAGGTAATTTAATTGGCACAAATTATCAGCTTTAGTAATTGATAATATGTCATAGTTACAACGAGTAGGTGTTTTGCTTCACACTAATTTGTCACTTTAAACCATAATTTCATAGTGTAACTTCTAGGATTGCATCTGGAGGCTGATCAGCAGTAGTGGAAACAGGTTTTCTTTCTTAAAAATTTCAAGCCAAAATAGTGACTAATAACGGAATCTAATATTTGAGTTTTCTTCCATTCGGAACTTGTCAGCTAAATGTACATGAATCTCAGTGTTGATGTTCACATAGTGACTTGAACCCAGAAACTTTTGCTTGAAACACTGACGTATTATTCAATGAGCTACTGAGTCCAGATAGCCTGATCAGTTGCACTTCATATTAATTCAAACAGTTATAATTCATTAAGGCTTTTGTTGTTATTTTTCTCTTGTATATTTTAATAATAAAAAGACCAAACGAACTAGAATTCTAAATAGTTGACATTTTAATGGATACAGTATTTACAGATCAATTCTGAAAATCACCTAATTCTAATAGTCAATTACAATCTAATATAAATCATTATCATTATAATAGTTTGTGATGATGCAATCAAAATTTTGACAGTTCTAAATGACATCTCATAAGTGTTTATAATTCACAACAAAAATATAACAAAATAGAACTTTTTTATTGTTTTTAAATTGTTTTAATGTCATTCTATTTTGTAGAGAAAATGTGCATGTATACAAAACATACAAATGTATCGAATTGTTCAGGTATAAGGATAGTTAGGAATACTTTTTTCTCGTTTATGTATTCTATAATAAGGGGGTTTTATGGAGATTTTACTAATTTTATATAGTTGAAATAATGAGTACATTGAAGCTAGACCACCATGAAAAACCTAGAAGCACTGAACGGCCGTTTCGTCCAAGTATGGGACTCATCAGCAGTGCGCATCCACGATCCCACCTCGCGTTATTCGTACTAGTGACTGGCTCCATGACGCATTTCCTGGAGTTCTAGTGAGAAGCAGTAACCAGTGGAGTTTAACCAGTTCTGTTGGGAGATATCAACTCACTGAAGATATTGGTGAATGGTTGCTCAATTTCATGGATTGGTTGAAGTTAGACATTAACACCACTGGATACCGGCCAGCTCAGTGGTCTATCGGTTAAGTGCTCTGGTATAAGACTGGTAGATCCTGAGTTCGAATCTCGCTGGGCGAGATTGTGGATGGTGGTGGTCTCGCTTCAATTGACTCATGATTTCAACTATATTCTATAATAACCTTAATATTTTCACAGTATTATATGAAAAGAAATGATAACGGTTATTTCATAATATGGCCAGTTGGTCAAATTTTTACATTTACGTACTTATCAACAGAATTTAGGATCGAAATCCCTTAAATAGATGTATGTATGATTAATTGTTGAAATCGAGCAACAAGTGAACATGATATTTTTATCATTAGATTATTCTACTAAGAAATGTTCAACAAAAACCATTCTTTTAATGAAATTTAAGACCAATGAGCACCAGGGAAAATAGTAAACCATGTCTCTATGATATATATTTAAATACGCTGAAAATTTAGAAAAGATCAATCCATAGATGTAATTAACAGCCTACTATTTACTGCACGACCTCAAGTGACTTTTATACGTAATACGTAACACCGATCAGAAGTGAAATACTTGTTAAAAGAAAATTAAAAAGATTGAACTCAGGAGAATAGGGTAAGACTATAATTTAAGGACGACCTTCGAGCGACGCTGAAGTGATCTTGAGCATGTCCACTTACTGACTAGGATCAAATGAAGGTTATAAATCAGTGTGATGAATTAGAATTATGATTTACAGTTGACGGTTAGTGTTAAGAATCAGATCTATGGTTTTCATCACAAACTGAAATCAGCTAAAATGCCAAAACGCTATTTAGGTGAATGAATTTCGCTCCAAAATCAAATATTTGTTATTCTAAATCTGATTCGTCCGTCCATAACTTATAGTCCCACCGAAAACAGAAAGGGAAAAATAAAGGAACTAAGAATTGGAAAAATCATGGAGGATGTGAAAGACAATTGATGGAAGATTTGCAAATGGAGTACTTAATGTATGGTTTTCACATTTTAGCAAATAACTCTATAATTTTGCTTTCGACAATAAATGGGATATTCCCACAAATACTTCCTGGTTAGCGTTTTTTCTAGCGAGTTAGCTTTCTATGGGACGGGATGGTTAACCCCATGCCAAACCCTCCTCCTTTATCCGGGCCTGGAACCGGCAGTAGCCCCTGGAGTGGATACAATATATCTATCTATCTATCTATATATATATATATATATATATATATATATATATATATATATATATAGCTCTCACTTCGGCAAATTCATTTTCAAAGATGTACAATCGCAAATATATTTACTTATTTTTCCAGGATGATAATAATTACAATAACGATGATAACAAACTTCTGCTAGACATGGTAACAGTGAAGTAGAATAAACGAAGGTATTCAAAACATTTTTAAGCAGGTAAAGTAATAATAGTTTGAATTCACTTGCTATTGTTTGCTTGTATCTTCTCATTGTTGTTTAGTACTGCAATTCATCAATCTCTTGTTGGCATATGTGCATTGTGTGCGGATTGCCTCGATACTGCCTGAATTCACAAGTATTATAAGCAAATATGTATGGCGGCTAGCAGTTTGATTGTTAAGGGTTTGAATATGCATCATAAAAATAGTTGGAGAAACTATCATTGGAAAAGGATGACTCAGTATAATAAGATAAAATGTTGAAATTGAGATAAAATGTAATCAGGGGGATCATAGAAACAGAAATAAACCAGTTGGGGTAGAAGGTTTAAGGAGAAAATGGAAAGGGAAGCAGATGGCTGTAAAGTAAGAAAAGTATGAATAAAGAAAAAAATTGAAACACGAAGATCATTGTATTAGAAGGAGAGGTTGTACCAATCTCTTTTAGATTTTCCCAGATTTATGCTATAGCTTCGGCAATGTTAAGAAGATGCAATATAACTGCCTTAGGTAGACTTCTACTTACTTTGTAGATGACTTTGAACACAGAGTCTGTCTTGATTAAGTGACCTGTATTCACAAAGTGTTCGATGGTTGAGCTTCTTATTGAGCCGTTTCCGCCTCTTGTTTTTAGCCACTCTTGAATTTTTTTGGATAAAGTACGCATCGAACAACCTATATACCTGGCTCCACATCAGCCGGTAAACTGGTAAATGCACATAGAGCTGGTCAGATGAGATAATTTATCTTTAAGATTATTGATGGACAATGATCGGCTGGAGAATATTATTCTCAACGTTGTTGTGAAGAACATTCTTTTTAATGACTCAGAAATTCTCCTCCTTAAGAAATTTGTAGCTCAATCATCCTTAAAATTAATGTTCATGTATAGTGTTTTCTTTTCGACTGAAATTATTTGTGTTTTAGGCTGTTTCGGTTTTATATTCTTGTCAATGTACTTTAATTGGACGATTATCAGTATTTACTAAATGCTTCCAGTAGAAATTACACACATTTGTTTTTAATTCAAGCATATATATATATATATATATATATATATATATATATATATATATATATATATATATATTGGTCTTACAGCCTATCCATGTTTAGAACTGAAGTTTAAACTCTAGTAATAATATTCGCACCAATCTTTTTTCTACGCCATAATCATATAGAATTAAATATGAGCATGAATGTATTAATCAGTTACATTACTTAATTAGTAACAAATGTAAACACTCCCTTAATTGTATTCGTTTTCGTTTACCATATATATAAATCACACACCCACACACCTACACATATCGTTAATCTATTAACTGAAAATTCAAAAAAAAACAACAGCAAATTGTAATGACCTTCACTGGAGCATGTGATAAAATAGTACAAGGTTATACTGTCAACTTATAAGTTTTTCATTACCATTTAATTTTTTTTATTAAATCATATAAAAAAGAATAATTAGGACAGTATAACATACATACAAAAAGTACATACAAAAATAATAATAAAGGTATATACACAACATTTTCATTGTATGATTAATTTATTTAAATAACTTATATTAAAATAGAAAAATAAGGATAAACAATGAGTAGAAGAGGGGAGAGGAGGGATAAAACTTTAATGCTCTTAATGTTATTCCATAAATTCAATATTCTAATTTGATTGGACGAGAAAAAAATTTTTTTTTAAATATATATACATAGATATACAGACAAATGTTATTCAACAGTAATAACATAACAACACATCATAGAGATTAGATTTACATTCACATACACAAATACATATAGTATATTGTAAATATATATGTAGTTGAGATTCAAATTTGATGGTAGATTAAAAGAGAGATATTTCAATCTCTCTTTTTTTCTCTCAGTTTTTTTCTTTACAACATTCAGACAATATAACAATATTAGCTACATTTATTTACATCAATTAATATCATGCCTCTGTTTTATTTTGTTTATTTCATATGACGTCAATATAGATACAAATTTTCTAAAGCTTTCATATTCAAATAATGAAAAAGAAAAGGAAAGAAAAG